CTTTCATTATCAGAGGAGGTCTTCTTTCAATTGGTGGTATGCTCAAATCTTTAGCTCTGTGACAAAGAGAAGATCCCCCTGAAAAAGGCAGGTTACAGTCTCAATTTTGATGCAGAATCTCCTTCACAGGTCAAAAGGGCCCAGTTAATGAGGTCAGAGGATGACACCGATTTCGTCAGAGTAATGAAACCCACAGCCTTAAAACAATAATTGGTAGCAAACCTAGCAACTGCTTCCTGGGAGTATCAGCTTCTAAGTGGGAGTAAGCCATAATTCAATGTTTCTTGCTACACAGGTAGTAGCTAATGCAGGCTTGAAATTAAAAAGGGTAGAAGCCCATGCTCTATAAAAGGACAGCAATCAATCTCAACATCCATTGTGTCCTTAAGAACACCCATATCCTTAAAAGGCAAGATCTGCTTTTTCAGATAATTTATTCCAAACCAACTCTGGATCATCAAGGGGAAGGAAAAAAAACCACAAGTGTTTCTAATGGAGGTAGACATGCACAGCACAAACTAAATACAAGCAATGGAGAGAGATCTCCTTTTGGTGAACTGGACCCTGACAAGTTCAAAAAGTAGTTTTTGAAGTGCTCAGAGAACCAAATTCAGATGCCACCGTCACAGGTGAGCAACATGACACACACACCCTAAACTGAAGCCTTAAAGAGTGAGAAGAGTAGTCTCTGGAACCAGATTGAAAACACCGAGATCTATCCAGTGATGGTAACTCTGGGTCAAATGCTGATCAGGACCCATTTACAGAAAGGACAGGATTGCACCTACAAAAAGTTTTGTAGGATGAAAGTACTTTTCCCCATACCAAGTGAAATATGCCTTCCATATAGGATGGTGAACCCTGGAGCAAAGTAGACCTACTAACTTATAGCATCATGTGAATCTCCAGTTCAGATATGCTTCTTTCCCTCCAGACATGGGCTTCAACAGCCATGACAGCAAAAAAAACAAAAGCAGCAACTGTAAAAGCAGGCCAGTAAAGTGGTCCATGGGCAAGTAGATCCAAATGATCTAGAAAAGGCCACAGATCTGATCATGTTAGAGCACATCTGCCTGGACCAATCCAGAGCTATAAGGTTCACCAGAAATACCCTACATCTTGATCCTGCAGAACCGATTAAGGTTTTTAAAAGGGGAGCAAAAACAGATTAGGGTGTATTGATCCAACAAAGCCACCAATCCATCCACTGCTTCTATTAAGAGATTTCTGCACCTGGAGACAAACCTATCCAGTTGGTTGCTGAACCTGGAAAATCAGGAGGTCCTCATCCAGCATGTAACAGGTCTGGGAATACCACTGGGTGTATGGACCACTCCCTGGGGTCCAGGTGCTGCTAGCAGAAGAAGTCTGCCTCCCAACTGCCCACACCCGGGATTTAAACAGTGGACTAAGCGGAAATATATTATTCTGCCCTGTTAGTTGATCTACATCGTGCCGTGGCATTACCAGACTGAACCCTGATCAGATGACCTCCCGACAGGATGTACAATTGCAGAGACCACCCCATCACTTGATCAAGACATAAGATTTCTCAAACATCCAATTTCCTCTGCACCAACAAAGCATCCAGGACTCTTCTCCAGCCCAACAGACTGGCACTTGTCATAAGGACCTGCCAAAAGAATGGTAGAAAGTACTTTCAACTCCAGAGCAGCATTCCTGAGCCACTAAGCCTGGGATACCTGGTCTTCAATGTGAGGCAAATTATTCTGTCCAAGAACAGTATACAGGAGGAGCTTGTGAATAATCTCAAGGCAGTTGAGACCAGTCACCAAACAAACCATTGGTAACACAATACACCGCCATGGATTGAGATCCTGCAGCGCCTGCAAGGTCCCCCTCCTCAAGAAGGCACATGTACAGGCCCCATCTGAAGTCTGCCAATGAACATGTATAGGATTCAGAAAAGGACTGGGAGACAGTGCTTTGGTCAGATGAGACCAAAATTGAGCTCTTTGGCATTAACTCAACTCACCGTGTTTGGAGGAAGAAACATGCTATGACCCTAAGAACACCACCCCTACAGTCAAGCATGGAGGTGGAAACATTATGCTTTGGGGCTGTTTCTCTGCCAAAAAGTACAGGCAGACTTTGCCACATTGGGGGGGCCAATGGATAGGCCATGTATTATAAAATCTTGGATAAGAACCTCCTTCCCCGCGTCAGAACGCTGAAGATGGGTCGTGGATAGGTCTTTCAGCATGACAATGACCCAAAACATACCGCCAAGGCAACAAGCAGTGGTTCAAGAAGACGCACATTAAAGGTCATGAAGTGGCCTAGCCAGTCTCCAGACCTTAATCCTATAGAACATTTATGGAGCAAGCTGAAACTTTGAGTTGCCAAGCGACAGCCAAGAAACCATAAGGATTTAGAGAAGATCTGTAAAGAGTGGACCAAAATCCCTCCCGAGATGTGTGCAAACCTGGTAACCCACTACAAGAAACGTCTTACCTCTGTGCTTGCCAACAAGGGTTTTTCCACCATGTACGAAGTCATGTTTTGCTGGGGGATCAAATACTTAATTTTACTCACTGAACTGCTACTCAGTTTATAACATTTGTACCATGTGGTTTTTTTCTGGATTTTTGGTTGATGTCTCGATCATTTAAAATTTACCTATGATAAAAAAAAATTATAGACCTTTCATTTCTTTGTAAGTGGGTAAACTTACAAAATCGGCAAGGGATTAAATAATTTTCCTCACTGTAGGACCACTTTAAGCCATACACTCCACAGAGCTGGCATTCATAGAAGAGTGGCCAAAAAAAAAAAAAACATTGCTTACAGAAAAAAAAAAAAAAGGAATGTAGGAGACTCCTCAAATATATGGAAGAACGTACTCTGGTCAGATGAGATTAACATTTAGATTTTTGGCCTTAAAAAGGAGAACTATGAGGCGAGTGCTTTTCACTCACCTCATAGTTCTAGCCGACCTGTGACAATGAGACTGTCATAGGTCGGCTCAGTAGACCGGGAGGTGAGCGAACACATACCGGCGTTCGCTCACCTCTCAATCCCGTCATAGCTCTCTGCCGTGACAGGGGAGGGGCTGGATTCCCCCCCTCCCTGCCAGCACGGACAGGGGAGGGTACAGCTGGCTCTGCCTCTAGAGAGGGATCCGCTTCAGCTGCGGCGTCTCAGTATACCGTGAGCTGCAGCTCGCGGTATACTGAGCCTAGGGTGACGGGAGGACGCTAGTTTGTGTCCTCCTGTTACCCTAAGGAGAACTATGGGGAAAAGCCTTAACCCCATAGTTCTCCTTTAAAAGAGAAACCGCTATGTCTGGTGCAAACCCCAAGACCACCATCCCGGAGTGAAGCATGGTGATGGCAGACCATGCTGTGGGGGAGTTTATCATCAGAGACTGGCAAGTTGGTCAGAATTGAAGGAATGATGCAGGGTGCTAAATACAGGGAAATTCCGGAGGGAAACCTGTTTCAGGTCTGCCAGATTAAAGACGAAGGTTCACCTTCCAGCATGACAATGACCCTAAGCATACTGCTAAAAGCAGCACTCGAGTGGTTTAAGGGGAAACGTTTAAAGTAGAGGTGCACCGAAATGGAAATTTTAAAACAGAAACCGAAATAAAAAAAATTGTCAGGCCGAAACCGATATCGAAAATGTTTTTTATAAACTTTGTTTTATATTAATTTATTTTTTACATTACTTTTAGGGGAAATACTGGGGGTCTAAACAGACCCCTGATATTTCCCTTTTAAAATAGAAAAAGAGATTGAGAACAGTCCTCAATCTCTTTTTCTGTGTCCCCTGTTATCAATGAACAAGAATCATCTATGAGTGTTACTGTCCATTGATAACTTGAGGACATGGTATGTTTACTATAACTACAACTATGAACGAACAGGAGGTGATGTAGGTCACTCCCATTCATTCATAATTGAGGCTATAGTTAACATACCATGTCCTCAACTACCTATCCCCAAGAGACTTGCACCTGTAATTGCTGCAAAAGGTGGCTCTACAAAGTTTTCACTTGGGGGTAAATAGTTATGTTCACTCAAGTTTTCTTTTTTGTATAATTTCTTGTTTGCATCACAAAAAAAAAATATTTAGCATCTTCAATGTGGTAGGCGTGTTGTGTAAATCAAAATTAGATTATATAATATATTTTCATTCAACACATCTTTTACTTCTTTCAAAAAGGAATCTGTAAAAAGACAGACAATGTGGATGAAAACAGAGTGGACAAACTTTGTACATTCCTATTTCATAGAAGTGAACAAAATCCTTCATTTATAAAATAAATATGACCAAATACAATTCAAGATACAAAGATCAAGATAACGTAAGTTTTCATTTCATCTTCATGATTAACGGAGTCACAGTAAAATCCACAACACGGCATTCACTTTAATTTGCTTTTTAATAAATTAATTTCATTCAAAATACAGTGCCAAAACATAATGCAGCTGAACATGCTAGTAGGGTTTGTCATGAAGCACCTGCGCTCATGTTAAGTTGGCAACAGTGCCCCTCTACTGCTAGTGGTTCCTGGGATTGATAGTAATGCCAGAGCAGCACACGATCTCTGCTCTCTCATGCACTACAGTGCCAAGTTATTTATTCCTGAACAGTTCTTTTCCCTTCCCCAGAAAAAAAATAAAAAATATCTAGGGTATACCAATACACAATCACACTACAGTAAATGCTTGTTAAGTTAAAATGAAATAAGACCTGGTAATTCAGCAATAACAATGTACAAGTCAGGGAAGGGAAAGAAAAATAGATCAGCAGCGGGTTTTTTGTGAGTGAGCAGACACCACTATTATAGAAGGTGAATGCTCCATTTATTTAATCCCTTCACTGTAAGGCAGCAGTAAAGGGTTAAAGCTCCACAGGGACCCGTACTACGAGGGGCTGGCAAATAGGTTGGATGCCCAGTTACGCCAGAATGAACGTTACAAGGCCATACTGGAAGACCTGTATTCTACAACAGAAGGGTACAGGTTTTAGTTTTTTTATTTGACAACAGAAACACATGCTCCTTGTACAGCTTGACTGAACCAGCAGTCAATGTATTGACCTGTGTTATCAAATGAGATACTACATTTCCCGCAACAGGAAAGATATAGTTTAGCAAAAAATATATATATATAATATAGATTACATGTTAAAGTGGGACTTTGGTGATACATCACTTTGTAAAAAATAAAACCTGCAGGTTGTCTGCATATTTCCTCTACTGCTTCAAAGTCAAGCTTGATGTAAGTCGCTAGACAAACGTACATTTTGTGTTTTTGTTTTTCAGCACTGAAAGAATCCAAGGCTTGAGATATGTTTACTGGAGATGATATCACACAACAAAGATTACACCTCTTTTAGGAGTATATAGTATGCAGAAGAAAAGCTATTTATACAGTAGTAAATATGAAGAGACAATCTTGAAGTTTAGAAAAGTAAAAGTCTCTTAAGTAAACACTTTATCCCTGGAGATACACATAGTAGAATCAGGTCACACTGCATGTTTGTATGTATAATCCAGCACATCAATTGGATTGCTAAGGAAAAGGAATATGGATAATGGAAGATTTCCCAACAAAGCATCTACATGTACAGTTCCATTATTAGCTGTTGGGTCACTCAATCTTTTTTTTCCCTCCAATGTGAATGGGAGAGGGGGCATCACAGGGATACAAAGGAATTGCTCTTGGTAAACCAGATGCTAAGGCTAGCATAAGGAACAGTTTTCCATTAGCTGGTCAAATATTCCTGATAATGGAAGCATATCTCCCTATATAAATGCATTATAGGTTACAAATGTTAAGTAGGGCAAAAAAATTAAAGTTTGAAAAAGAAAGCAGTGCAAACATTTCTCAGCCCACTTTCACAACAGAAACGTTTTAAAGAGCTCTCATTGAGGAAACAGGAGATCCATGCATACATGTAGACTTGCTTGCAGCCAGCTATACAGGGGGTAATGTAGCCATGTTTCCGTCCAGCTCAAAGTCATCTGCACCATCTTGTGAGAAAACATGCGTTAGAGGTTTCCAAGGAGATACTTCTAGACATGAAGGGTATAACTTCCCAACAGTGCACCGGAACTCTTTCCCCAAATCCCAAAGCACCCGCTCGGATATCTGCTGGCGCAGAAACCATTGGTCGAGGTCCATATCGTACTGATAAATGGCATACTTTGCTTTTTCATTCATATGAGTCTCTCTGATAAAAACACACAAGGAATTGGATATGACCACTGCTCGAACACAGGGATCTGCAAAGCGTTTGGCAGGTATACTGGCTGCCATATACCACTCATTCTTAAGCACATCATATATTTCAACAGCTACGGAAGAGCCATCCAAAGTGCTGGATGGGAGCCGCACACCAGAATTGTTGTCTGTTTGCAGACCTCCGAGGTAGAAGATTTTGCCGTCAAAGGCTGCAGCAGAAGCAAAGCATCTACTAGTTTGTCTCTTCGCTACTTCTACCCAGATACCAGACCGTGGAATGTAGCAGTATGTTAGGTTATAAGCCATTACATAGATGCAGTCATTGACGACTACTGCAACACTCCATGAAAATGCACATGGAAGAGGGCTCACCAAAGTCCACTCATCCTTCTCGCAGTCGTATCTTTCCACTGTTCTTCTGTTGAGTTCACCGCCTACGCTATCTCCACCAATTGCATAAATATAGCCATCGCACCATATCAAAGAAGGCTTAATTCGAACACATAGCATGGGGGTCTTTGGAATCCAGGTATTCTGCTGTGCATCAAACCAGTAGAAACTATTCACAGCCCTAAAAGTAGCCTGTAGTTTGCCAGGCTTGCCGTGATTGCTTTTGGCCGTTTTTACAGGGACCTGTCCTCCGGCAATAAAAATATCATTATCAGGAGTCACCGCAGTCCCAACTTTATGTAGCTCAGAGGGAGGGCTGCAAATCTTGTAAACTTTCTCTGCCTGCGGACTGTAACAGATGATGGAATAACAACCAGGGTTTTCAAGAGCAGCTTCTATGATGATGATCATCTCTTCTTTTGTCATACCAAGCCTTGGTTTAAAGAATCTCGGCATGGATTTGTAAAGTCCTTGAACTACTACAGACTTATCATTTGGTGGCAAACCTTGGAACCACTCCCGCTGAATGACCTCTGAAAGAGCATCGATGCGCAGGTGGCTTAAAACAGTGGACAAGTACTGCGAGCGTGACACGGTGTTGTAATCTAACCAAGACATTGCAGCTTCTCTCACCGTCTCCTCTTTTTCCACATTTAGATTGTCACTGCTCACAAGGTCTATCAAAAGCTCACTAGACAGCTGCATGAAAGCCTCCTGGCGGTACACTGTGGTAAACTTGTGCTCCACCATTCTTTTGGCGCACTGCTTCAATTCTTCACAGCTGAACAAGTCAGCGAAACTCATTAGCCGGACACAGTTTTTGGCATTGATTTTCTTAATTAAATATTCCCTACAAAGCTGCAGCACATCTTCCACCTGTAAAAAGAAAATCATGGAATTTTAGCTGCTTAACAAGAAATGTTTTTAATAAATATTTACAAAATACTGAAAAATAACCAACAAAAATAATGAGGAAAAAATGGGTGTCGCAGCTTTCAACCCTATTAAAAAAAACAGCTCATTGGTGGACTGAAAACCAAGGTTAAAATATATTAAAACTGTCAGTTATAAATCAAGTGCTTGCTGACTAGCTTTGGACACGATACTGTGCTGCGTGCACAGCCGTATCGGGCAGCTCCTGAGAAGGACAGGTGCTGCATGCGATTTGTACGCAGCAGCCTGTCCTTCTCTATGGGAGTACGCCGCCCTACGCTCACCCGACAGGATCCATCCCGTCAGCGTACAAGTACAGACACCCGCACCAAAGTGCAGGTCGGGTGAGCGTAGGGCGGCGTATGGGTGCGTACTGCCATAGAGGACAGGCTGCTGCGTATAATTACACGCAGCACCTGTCCTTCCTGGGAGCTGCCCGATATGGCCGTGCACGCATCACAGATCTGTACAGGCCGGCCGTTTCCCATGTGAATGAGGTCTTAATCATAAAAATCTGTAATAGACACAATATGTCACTTGTGGAACAGTTTATGTGAATACATACTTCATCAATACAGTAATGTGAAAAACTGGAATAGCTGCCCTTCCTGGGAGCTTCTAAGCAACTGATGCAGCGTGCAGGAAAATAGAAAGGAATTACTGGTAAAATATTAAATATAGATAGAAAGCTAAAAGCTGATTTGTTGTCCAAATTCTGCCTGGTCCAGGTCTTCGTAAATTCCCTCTGCAAGTTCGCCATTTCACTTGTTAACTGATTTTTATAATGGCCAGCAATTCCAGTGACGCACTAACCTCTATTGAGCAGGATGGTCACTAAACTACTTCCTGTATTGCCATCACTGCTTCCTTGGTTAGTTTCCTACACAGACTAAAGGGCCTGTGTTGAAGGGCTTTGTTCACCTCCAACAGGTTTTGCATTCCCATAGAAGTCTATGGGCACGCAAAAACTACTTAAACCGGTCAAATTCAGGTCAGGGCGACAATTGCAGGATAAATGCACCCATCCATGGATTGTTTCAAAAGCATTTCAAACAGATATAGAAGCCCAAAGCCCATCAACACAGGCCCTAATGATCCCAAAATCAATGTCTACTGATCAGGCTGGAGGTAGAGAAGTGACATAAGAGGCCACAAAGATGGACATGGAAAATTAAATATGTTTGTTACCTATCTTGCTATGCAGTAGAAGTTGCAGTATTAACCTTTCTCTGCAAATTTATTTATAAAATGCTACATTTTACTACTTTAGATTTCAAGAAATGTGAGATTTAGTACATGACTTTACCTGTAAAAAGCATGCGGTTTCATACAGCTGTTCAACAGTGCTCTCATTTATTGCCAAGTTACCCGTGTATGCATATGTGATAATGATCTGCAAAGAAGCTGCATCCACATTTCTCAGATGGACATGCGTTTGTTTACTTTCACTAAGCCCACTCATAAACATTGCCCTGCAAAGGAAAAAGAAATAATCAGGTTAAATAAAAATATACATCAAGGAAGCAAACAGTGTTATGACCAATTTGAATCTAACACATTGTTAAAGTGACACTAAACTCAGAGTTAAAGCTTTAAAAAAAAAAAAAAATGCATTCAAGTACCTTAACGATTAAAAAAAAATGTATCTTATTTATGTATCACTCGGCTGTAGATCCTCAAATCATCTCTGAATTGGTGCCGACACTGTCCTTCTGGAGGGTGGCTACTTTTGTTCCTCATGGTTCTTGTGTGTGTTGTAGAGTAGCCGCCACGCCAAGCTCGCTCCCATGATGGACTACAATCTCAATACAAATTAGTAAACTAAACATGAGATTGTAGTCCATCACAGGAGCGAGCTTGGAGCGGTGGCTACTTTTAAAACACACAGAGGAACCATAGGAAACAAAAGTAGCCACCCTCCAGAAGGAAGGACAGTGTCAGCATGAATGCAGAGATCGAGGATCTACAGGCGAGTGATGCACAATACAATTTTTGTAAATAGTTAAGTTACTTGAATGCATTCTTAAGATTTAACTTGAGTTTAGTGTCATTTTAAGCAGTACTAAGGCTTGCCAAACAAAAAAAAAATGCCCTGAACCCACAAATACACCAACAACCCATAAGACCTTGGTGGCTAGATCATTATACATACAGAACAAGTACAAATAAATGACAGCATTGGATAGCTTGCCTCAAGGTAGTGCAAGGCAGCAGAGAGCAAGGAATGTTTGAGTTCTCCTGAGTATTGAGTTACTTGGTTCATTACATTTTTGTATGGTGAGCATCAGGAATCACTTCGGTGTACAAGCCCCATTACTGCTACAGTGGATGGTTTTCATATTCAGCCATCTGACAGAACAAAAAGAGCTTATAGATAACTGGCTGTGTACAGTGAAATCCATAGTTGTTACCTGGATATCAATCTAGTAGGAAGAAAGATCTATTGATACAAAGGCTTCAGCTACACAGGCTTTCAGCTCTTGTAAACATATTTGGTACCGTGAATGATATGGGCCTTGGCCACCCATACCAGACATTCCAGGTCATATTTGGATATTACCATGAATATAAAATATGTTGCAGCTCAGGGATTTGTTGGTTGTAGATGTGGTTTTGGAAGCATCCCAAGAGAACTTCCATGAATTTTAATACACTGCATTCTCTAGTTTAAAGAGAATGGTCCAAAAAACAAAAACCATCCAGGGGAAGAAGTTTATCGAACACAAAACGATATCTACTCGAGTCTCAGCCACCATATTAAAGTGGCATTGGGATAGCAGTAATACTGGCCATACACTACATGGCCATACAAGAACCAAACAAAATATGCACAGTGAGGTGCAAGTATCAGCTCCTGGGCTTCTGATGCTTCTACAGATTGTTTCATAGGAGAGCAAAGTAAACACTATGCTTCCACATTCTGTTTAAGTCAGCAGTGCAGTGACATCACTATTCCTTCCCACTAAACATTGCTAGTATTCCCAATAAACACTGCTCGTTTAAGTAGCTGAACCGGTTTTATATAGAATCTTGCTAAAAGTTGTAAAAATGTACAACAAGGCTGAATGATCGGAATACTGAAAGCCAATAAAGATCTGCATTCCCTAATGCAGTCATTCTAACTCTGAATCCAACTGCAGAAGTGCAACTCAAAAGCAGTGAAAGTACAAAAAAAACCAAAACACATAAATATGATATAGATGAACTCATCTTTATTAATAGGTCTATGTGCTATCAAGGAGGTTGACGACATGTTAGAGCTTAAAAATGCATTGAAGTACCCCAACTATTAACAAAAATGAAGCTTACATGTGTATCACTCAGCTGTAGAGCCTCAAATCATCTCTGAATTGGTGCCGAGACTGTCCTTCCTTCCGGAGGGTGGCTACTTTTGTTCCCCATGGTCCCTGTGTGTGTTGTAAAGTAGCCACCGCTCCAAGCTCACTCACGTGATGGAGTACAATCTCAGGTTTAGTTTACTAATGTGTATTGAGATTGTAGTCCATCACGGGAGCAATCTTGGAGCGGTAGCTACTTTACAACACACACATGGACCATGGGGAACAAAAGTAGCCACCCTCCAGAAGAACAGTGTCAGTGTGAATTCAGAGATGATTTGAGGATCTAGTCGAGTGATGTACAAAATGATACATTTTTGTTAATAGTTAAGGAACTGGAATGCATTTTTAAGATTTAACTCCTGAGTTTAGTGTCACTTTAAAACAATAGAATTTCTTCCAAAAATTTAAATAAAAATGCCCTGGCACCTGTGCAATCGTTCAGCAAATGTCAGCTCTTTGAGTAAACAATCTTCAACATTTAATATTTTTTAAGTATGTCAGATACCTGGTCCCCGTATTTTCATAAGTGTTACAACTGGGAAATTTTTCAGTAAGCCACAGTTAAGTATTAAATATTTTCTTTACAATGGACTTAAATAAAATTCCAAATGCAGCTTAAAAAAACCAAACAGGACATTTTAGGGCCCCTTCACAATATTGCACCTACCTGAAATAAGAGCTGCATGTTGCAAGAACCATTTTGTGACATGGAAATTCAGTGCCCTCAACAATTAATACTATGTCTGTTAGTAGCTGCTGCTCGTAGAACAGTTTTAGCTGCTCCAGTAGAGAGACTGCATATTCAGTATTGATCTGCCGTTCGTCCTGGCCAGACATGATTGCATTCCATTAATGTATACAGAGATCCAAAGGCAAAACAAAATGTTTTTGTTATGTTAGGAAACAAAAATAAAAAGTTCAATACTATTGAGGTGTTGGCTCTAAAAATGTCGATCGGTTCCACGTAATAGCTTCTGAGGAGTTAGCAGCACTATCCACAATACGGCCGATAAACACTGATCCAAAATGTTTCAGAGGACATCTTCTGAAGATCCAAGAGTAAAATCCAGTGCCAGTTTAAAAGAACTATGTTATAATAGACGTTGTATCACAAGGACATGATGTAAAGTTATCCGCAACATTTTTTAAACCTGAAAAAAAAAAAAAGGATAAAAATATCATATACATTAGAATAGTGAATAGTGTGTGGCTCCACCAATGAGCCCGTAGCTCCATAAGGTACTTCACATGTTTAAACAGAACTACCAACTGAAGAGAAGACAGTGGATGGGGCATCACTTACACCTGTTGTGTGAAAACGCATCTGCTTTTGGAAAGTTTTACGGCAACAAAACTGTAAAAAAATGTAAAGCTGAAATGAAGGCGGATAATAAAAAAAATTGACGTGTAATCTAGAAATATGAAGATTTATAAAATGCATTTTCTTAAAGTTTCAATATGTCTAAAAGAAAGCCACCGCTCCAAGCTCACTCACGTGATGGAGTACAATCTCAGGTTTAGTTTACTAATGTGTATTGAGATTGTAGTCCATCACGGGAGCAATCTTGGAGCGGTAGCTACTTTACAACACACACATGGACCATGGGGAACAAAAGTAGCCACCCTCCAGAAGAACAGTGTCAGTGTGAATTCAGAGATGATTTGAGGATCTAGTCGAGTGATGTACAAAATGATACATTTTTGTTAATAGTTAAGGAACTGGAATGCATTTTTAAGATTTAACTCCTGAGTTTAGTGTCACTTTAAAACAATAGAATTTCTTCCAAAAATTTAAATAAAAATGCCCTGGCACCTGTGCAATCGTTCAGCAAATGTCAGCTCTTTGAGTAAACAATCTTCAACATTTAATATTTTTTAAGTATGTCAGATACCTGGTCCCCGTATTTTCATAAGTGTTACAACTGGGAAATTTTTCAGTAAGCCACAGTTAAGTATTAAATATTTTCTTTACAATGGACTTAAATAAAATTCCAAATGCAGCTTAAAAAAACCAAACAGGACATTTTAGGGCCCCTTCACAATATTGCACCTACCTGAAATAAGAGCTGCATGTTGCAAGAACCATTTTGTGACATGGAAATTCAGTGCCCTCAACAATTAATACTATGTCTGTTAGTAGCTGCTGCTCGTAGAACAGTTTTAGCTGCTCCAGTAGAGAGACTGCATATTCAGTATTGATCTGCCGTTCGTCCTGGCCAGACATGATTGCATTCCATTAATGTATACAGAGATCCAAAGGCAAAACAAAATGTTTTTGTTATGTTAGGAAACAAAAATAAAAAGTTCAATACTATTGAGGTGTTGGCTCTAAAAATGTCGATCGGTTCCACGTAATAGCTTCTGAGGAGTTAGCAGCACTATCCACAATACGGCCGATAAACACTGATCCAAAATGTTTCAGAGGACATCTTCTGAAGATCCAAGAGTAAAATCCAGTGCCAGTTTAAAAGAACTATGTTATAATAGACGTTGTATCACAAGGACATGATGTAAAGTTATCCGCAACATTTTTTAAACCTGAAAAAAAAAAAAAGGATAAAAATATCATATACATTAGAATAGTGAATAGTGTGTGGCTCCACCAATGAGCCCGTAGCTCCATAAGGTACTTCACATGTTTAAACAGAACTACCAACTGAAGAGAAGACAGTGGATGGGGCATCACTTACACCTGTTGTGTGAAAACGCATCTGCTTTTGGAAAGTTTTACGGCAACAAAACTGTAAAAAAATGTAAAGCTGAAATGAAGGCGGATAATAAAAAAAATTGACGTGTAATCTAGAAATATGAAGATTTATAAAATGCATTTTCTTAAAGTTTCAATATGTCTAAAAGAGGTACCAACATGCTTTTGCAGCATCTGCCAAGTGCCTACCAGTCAATATTTGGACAGGAAAAAAAGAAAAAGCAGTACACACGAATGTTAATAGTACAGCTTCAACCAGAAACCAAAACCCTAAAGCTGGCCACACACTGCTGGATTTTAGTCCTACTGGCATTCTGCATGAGAGAGATGAAGCTTTTAAACAGAATAAAACAATCCATCGAAATGTCAGAAAGGAGACAAGCTGCAGAAATATGAGCAGTTGGTGCATGTCAGCACCACCCCTCTGGGTTTTTCAACATTTCCAGGTTGAAAATTGGTGGCCAAACAGTGACTGCAGCCAATCAATCAGTTGCAGTCCCTGTTCGGGTATTCAGATGGCTGTAAGTGCTATCAAAATGCAATAGTACGGCAGTGGAGAAATCTCCCACCCATGTGGGAAATGAAGCATCTTTTCTTATTCAGCCCATGGGACTAAATGAGAAAATTAAATTAAATACAAGATTTCAGCCAGCTTTATTTAGGTGACAAGGGAGAAACTAAGTGACAAGGAGGGGAGCTTCTGCACAGGTTCTATCAGAGTTAACACTTGCACATCCAACCTGCAGTTTGTCTTTCTGCTGTCTCCAGACAATGCACACAACACATCAGCACTAAGACCCTCAGTCCAGCATTGTTCTCACTCTCCTCCACTCTGCTGTCTTTATCTCCTCTTCTCCCAAGACAGCAGAGGGGGGGAGCCGAACTTACGGTCTTAGTGCCGATGTGGTATGTGTATGGTCTGGAGACAGTAGTGTGGAGAGGAGAGACAAAAGACAAACTGTTGGATGTACTAGTGTCAGTAGACCTGTGACCTGAAATGAATAAACTGTAATCGCAGTCCATCACAGGAGTTTGGCATGGTAGCTACTTTACAACACACACAGGGACCATGGGGAACAAAAGAATCCCCCCTCCAGAAGGAAGGACAGTGTCAGCACCAATTCAGAGATGATTTGAGGATCGACAGGCAAGTGATACACACATAAGGTATGTTTTTGTTAATCGTTAAGGTACTTGAATTAATTTTTGAGATTCAACCCCTGGGTCTAGTGCTACTTTAAGTGCCATCTGTTATTTTTCAGGAGCATTGGCTACCCAGCCCCTGAGCTTTGTCCAGCCCTAGTATATTAGCATACTGTCATTTATTGGCTTTTAGAGAAATATATGAATCTGGGAACCCGGTCTCACAGGCCCAACTTCTCATGTCTCTAAAGATATGGAGGTTTATGCAGAGCGTATAAGCTATGGCAAATGTGAAACATATTGTGCTCAAAACTTGCGTCACCATTTTCAAATTTATTTCTCACATGCAAATGACTTTGCTGCCCAAAAGGAAAATATATCCCAATTTTTTTAAATAAAATCAAATGCGGTAAACTTACTGTATACTGCAATATTCACTTACTGCATATTGCAATACAGAACACAAAAGAAATCAGTGAATACAAGAATTAGGTTGGGTACTGATATTACAACACAAAACAAAATGAACCCGATTTGAAAACTCGCTTGATCACTCCACTCATGACATTTAAAGCAGAGCTGTGGCTCCAAATGGTATAAATCCTGACACATGACACCATCTTTGTATAGCATATGCATGGCACAGTGTCCTTAAAAGACTGCATGGATCACACCATCCTTCTATAGCATAGACATAGCTCTGTGTCCTTAAACAGCCCCTCGCGTCATCCTGCACGAGAGAGAGAGAGATGAAGCTTTTAAACAGAATAAAAACAATCCATTGAAATGGCAGAGAGGAGACGTAATGCAGGATCTCTTCTCCCACACACACACTTTTACTTCCTGGCTACATGAAAAGTATGTGGCTACATGAGCCCCAGTACCTCACCCCCTTGCAGCTTTCACCATGTTAAATATGGTTTCTATTTGGTTTCAGTCATTCACAAAAAGCATTACATGCATATAGTCTACCAATAGGGCAGAAAAGCAGACATTAAAAAAAAAATACCAAGACGGAAGAAAACTCTTTAACCACTTGAAGTCTGGGGTGTTAAACCCCCTTCCCATCCAGGCAATTTTTCAGTATTCAGCGCTGCGGTACTTTGACATTTATTCCGTCATACAACGCTGTACTGAAATACATTTTATACAATTTTTTGGGGACAGATAGAGCTTTCTTTTGATGGTATTTAATCGCCACTGGGGTTTTTTTTTTTATATATTAAGGAAAAATTATCGATTTAAAAAAAAAAAAAAAAAGTTTCCCCTATATTAAATGATAAAACATTACCCAATTTTTTGGGTATACATTTTTTTTTATATAATAACAAAAGGCACACTGACAGGTCCTATCTTCTGACATCCGTGTCCATTCACACTCTTCCTCCACCTTGTGATGGAAGAATGAAAGTGAGCTGTGCTGACCCACGCTTGGTCTATGGGGAGTGTCGGTTTACCTCAGATCTGGCTGCCCATAGAGTTACATTGGGCTCTCCATGTGATCCACATGAAAATCTAACAGATGGATCTGATCGGACTGCCCATCTAAAATGGGCCCTTAAGGTGTTATATACACACAATGTTTTTTGATCAAGACACAGAGCAGTCAATTGATAAATTGACCATACTGATAGCAACACTCAGAAGACATTTAACATCTCCTTTTCTGCTCCATTTTTCCTTCACATTAAAGTAAGGCTACAAGCCTATGTCTAAACAATTTGAGCTGATATACAACCCAGAATCTTTACAATTGTTGGCAGTGAAAGCCCATGCTCCCAGGCCCTTTATTAATTGAATACAGAGCAGCAGAGGGCCACTGCAACTTAAAGGGCATCTATGGTAAAAAGCTAAAAAAAAAAAAAAAAAAAAAAAAAAAAAAAAACGGTTTT